AAAGAAATCGAATACTTCCTAGTAGCATTTTCCTGCTGATCTTGTGGAGGCCCCTCACCCCAAGCTAGTGTCCCCTATGAAACTGGCATATGTCACAATGGCTTAGTAGACAAAGCTGCAACCAGTGAAGCTGGTTGCAGCCTTGTCTACTAAGCCATTGTGACATATGCTAGAGTCATAGGAGATTCTGGGTATTTTTATCTTCAGCCTACCTAGTTGTTGGGACATGTGCAAATACCAGCTGTTGGAAAATATGGCTAGGGGGTAGCATGTACATGTTGGACTTGAAAGCTATCCATAAGTATCTGCCATAATATAAGCAGAATATGTGACTTGATAGGGCCTTGGTCTGATCCAGCACAGATACTTAAGAAGGAAGGAAAAACAGGGGTGGCCTCCTTTTAATGACGTATGTGTAAACCCCATTCATTCAAAGCTAGGGAATGAGTCAAGGTTTATGTCTCAAACTATTGATCCATGAGACAATAAAAAGGGAGCTCACTGGTTGCACATGGGCATTTCTGACATTACGGAACATTTAATAGTATTTGCCAAAATCAAATAACAGGCAGACAATTCCTAGCCAATCAGGAGGCTCAACCCTTGCATGAAAAGCTGCTCAGAAGGAAAAGTTAAATTATGGAAATTTGAAGTACAAAGACATCAATAAACTCAATAGCAGAGTTTATACTTAATGAAGATAATCGGATTCTCCCTCTTTTTGCCACTTGGCAGAAGCCTCTTACTTTATTTCCTATACAACTGCCTGGAAATGTTTGTTCTTCTATTCTTAAACATGGAAGTCCTTCTTCAGTCACTGCCAATAGTTCATACACATATCCAATGTTTATATAAAGACCAAGACAGTCAATACTTGATCTCGTCCATGATGCATTCCTTGTATCTGAATATATAGTGTAATGCAGATGCAGTTGGAATGTGGAATTGTTCATTCTACAGGATGAAATACTGGCCTTGTTAGATTGGGACAATCTTTGGATATGAGGAATTATGAGATTCATGTATTTACAGTCTGCCATTGTTTAAACCACAAAGATCTAATGCCATAAGAAACACAATAGTGCATTTCTAAAAGGTATGTGCTAGAGAGCCTGGCTATACCATAAGATAAGACCTACCTACGAAGCTTGTTTGTTGTTTTGGAAACCTGTCTCTAGGCTTCTCGGAGACATCAAACCGGTCCATTAAGAAGCAGGGAGGTGGTCTATGCAAATTTTCTCTTTATTCTAGCAAGACACTTCTTATGTGGCAGTGCTCCCAAGCGGAAACTAAAACTTTAGAGCAGTGATTCCCAAAGTGGGCGTTACCCCCCCCTGGTGGGCGCTGCAGTGATCGGGGGGGCATAATGGCCACAGGTGCATTTGGGGGCAATGAATAACTGTAAGGGGGCGGTGAAAACATAAAAGAAAGAAGAGAAGATTTAGAAAAATTGATTTCCAGGGGGTAGGCCAAATAAGTTTGGGAACCACTGCTTTAGAGTATGGGAATATACATTGTAGCATCACACTCAAACACTCTAATAAACTTTATTTGGCTTACGTATCCCCCACCCCCAAAAGATTAGCCACTATTGATTTGAAACATTCAAAAACCAGCCAAATCTGAAGTGTTGGAAACAATGGTCACCAATGGTGAACCAGTCGTGCTCATTTCAAAAATTGTTCTTAGCACTCCTGAGAAAAGGGGAGGGGGTCTGAAGCATCTGGCTATGTTGCACAGATGGTGGTGAGGATATCATCATCATCTCAGACATCCAGGAATATAGCCAAATACTTCTCTGATTCTGTCCCTGTCTCTCCACCAGTGACAGGATGGTGGTCAGGGATGGGGGAGCTATCACAGCCAAAGGGAAAGTTCCAGGGATGGTGACCAGGGCTGTAGGACAGAAGCACATGTAGAACTCTTACACTACACTGAACTATATAAAACCTATGTTTTTCTTCAGGAGTGAAAATCAGGGGAGAAAGAGAAGAGCCAAAACTGTGTAATAACTGAACTCAAATTGACTATTCATGTATCTGTCTTATTACTGTTGCTGGGCAAGTTAGAATCCACTGCAGTGTTTGTTGTTGAAGTTGCCAAATAATAAGACTCATCCACAAACACTGGGTCACTCAGCAATACTATTTGGCTTGAGACAAAACCCTTTTTCTAAAGAAATTATAAATGTCTTCATGCAATTACCTCAAACAGAGTAATTCAATGGAAATCTTTAAATGGGTCTGTTGGAAGAGAACCTACATCAATGTACATATGGCATGAACAAGTAAACCAGTTCAGGAGGCTTAGAAGATAGATGTCTTTATTCATATAAATCTGCTTAAAAAGATAAATGTATTTGATTTATAAAGGCACAATTCAAAAACCACTGAAAAGGCAAGCTTTGGCGTGCACTCAAGAATAAGGCATTTTGAATTTCAAAGACTTCTGGCACAACCTGGGCAAAACAAAACTAAAGAAACAAGGTATTTGAGTGAGGAAAATCCAGCATAAGATAGCCATCGAGTGGGGATTTCTTTGTGGATAAAGGGAACATGGTCCAGCCAACTGCCAAAGTGGAATCTTCATCCAATTCTGAGAAAGTCCTTATTAAGTGAATGAAGCTTATACAGCAGTTGTTCTCAACCTGGGGTCCCCAGATGGTTTTGGCCTTCAACTCCCAGAAATCCTAACAGCTGGTAAACTGGCTGGGATTTCTGGGAGTTGTAGGCCAAAAACATCTGGGGACCCCAGGTTGAGAACCACTTTATAACAGCCTTGTGCTGTTTCCTGTCTTAACAATGCAAAGCGAGGGCTTCATGCTTTACTTGCCCAAGAAGAAGCCTCTCCTTGTGCAAGAAGGACCTGAACAAAACTTAACTGTAGTATTTCTTCAAAACCAAATCACATATGATAGTAAAGATGACACTATGGAGGCACTCAAAGTTTTAAATGTATTGGCTGGCACCCTGTTCAGCATGTCAGCATAATAGCCATGTTTAAATATTCAAAAGAATGTCATATTGAAGACAGAGCAAGCTTGTTTTCTATTGTTGCAGAGGCTAGAACTTGGACAAACAGATTCGAAATACAGAGAAATAAATTCCACCTAAACATGGAAGAATATCCTGATAGTAAGAATTGTTCTAGAGTGGGATACTCTGCTAGGAGATGTGGTAGAATCTATGTTTTTTTAAGGTTTTCAAACAGAAATTGGGTGGTCATCTGTCACAAATGGTTTATGTATTCTTGCATGGCAGGTTTAGATGGTCCTTATGGGCTCTTCCAATTCTGTGGTTCTAAAACTCTATTCAGCATACTGCAAGATGGACGTATGAAATTGCAATTATTGCAATTCGTATTTAATGTCATCATACTATCGTAACAATCAAAGGTTTCTCCTAAATCAGTGGTTCCCAACTTTTGGTCCTCCAGTTGTTTTGGACTTCCAGTCCCAGAAATTCCAGCCAACTTAGCAGCTGTTAGGAATTGTGGGAGCTGAAGTCCTAAACACCTTGAGGACCAAAGGTTGGGAACCACTGCCCTAAGTGAACTGGAGAATGAGATTTTGACCAATATTGCCTCCAGCTCTTGGTAGCAAAATGTGACTAGCAGTGGCAGAAATCCCTGTGGTGTCCTTTTGTTGCTGTTTGTTGCATTAAGCCTCATTACTAGGAAAGCTGAATACATCATTAGTCAACATTCTTCTCTCTTGCATCTCAGAAATATTTATTGGTGGATTCTTATATTCAAAGGTAGGAGGAGGTATAATCTACAATGATAGAACTTGTTGCAAGTACGTCCTGCTACCAAGAGAGAGCCTAGTGCAGAAACTTTGCTATTATTAAAAGCAGCAGGTGGGAAGATAATGTTAGGGTTGTTGTAGGTTTTTTCTGGCTATATGGCCATATTCTAGAGCAATGGTTCCCAACCTGTGGGTCCCCAGATGTTTTGGCCTTCAACTCCCAGAAATCCTAACAGCTGGTAAACTGGCTGGGATTTCTGGGAGTTGTAGGCCAAAACACCTGGGGACCCACAGGTTGAGAGGCATTCTCTCATGACGTTTTGCCTGCATCTATGGCAAGCATCCTCAGGGGTAGTCAGATCTCACTATCTCTGAGGATGTTTGGCATAGATACAGGCGAAACGTCAGGAGAGAATGCCTCTAGAACATGGCCATATAGCCCGAAAAAACCAACAACAACCCAGTGATTCCGGCCATGAAAGCCTTCGACAATACAAAATAATGTTAGTTTCATAAGAACACTGTATGCAGAGAAATGAAGTACATCCCCTCTCTCCTCTTCCAGATTCTTAATGAAAATCTCCACTCCCACACTGCAAGGAGCTTAAGAAAAAGTTACAACTCATGAAAGAGTAATATGCTTCTCAACTATGTACTGAATTTCATGTGCAATTGCAATGTGTCATAGTCTCTTCATTTTCAAATGTAAGGATAGATCTGAAAGTCAGGTGGCTCTCACATTCAAATTCACATGGTAGAGGCCAGTTGACATGTTATTTTATTTTCCCCATAAAAGTCAGAGTTAGAGCCGTCGCAAACTCTGTTCCTGCGGGAGAAAACCTTGCTAGCATGTCCCTGACGTCATGAGCCTGCGCCTCTCTCCCCGCCCCTTTCTCCGCCCCTTTCTCTTTGCCAGCGTGGTTTTTCCTTTGCTAGGGCAGCATTGCCCGCATTTTCTCTCAGTTGAATTCTGCCAACTGAGAGAGTATGCTGGCAATGCTGCCCTAGCAAAGGAAAAACCACTCTCGCAAGGAGAAAGAGGCGGAGAAAGGGGTGGGGCAAGAGGCGGAGTCTCATGACGTCAGGGACGTGCTAGCAAGGTTTGCTCCCGCAGGAACAGAGTTTGCGACGGATCTTAGGTCCTCCAGCACAACTCTATAAACAAGCAAGGGGCTGAAGTCAATCACTGTTCAGAACAATAAGTATTACATCAAGCTACAAGCAGTGTGTATGTAAATATAAAACCTACCATGCATTACAGGGAAAAAAGCCTTTATACATAAAGCTACATGGAATCATGTTGCACTAAATAAATGTTTCTTCCACGCATGTCTCTCATATAGAAGTCATCTCCCCCCCACCCACAGAAGGCAAAAACATATTTCTGATCTACAACTATCCAGTGCAGCAGCCACTATTGCAGCAGAATTTCTGTTTTATGCACCATTAAAGGAAGGAATATAAATGTTAGCAAACATGACACTGTAGAGGAAGAGATCTGGCAATATGTGAAATGATAACATGTTACTAGATGGTATTTTTTTAAAACACACAAACAAGAAATCTATAAATCCCTGCCGAGCTCCACTTAGTCATTTCCACCGCACAGTTTGAGAAGGATTTTCCGATAGTCCCCTGAAGTGTCACCCTGGCAACAAAAAAACAAAAGCCAAAGTGAGAAGAAACAAAACAATACATGCCAAAGATGAGAGAAGCCAGCAAAAGAATTATCTAGCAGGTGATAGCAGACAAAGAGCTCAAGAAACACACTATGCTACTATATAGTAAGCTTAGGAGAATGTGACTGGGGGCCATCATATGGGGCCCTGGGACACACAGGCGTATCCTCTAGCTATTATAGGAATCAATTTGCAGAACTACTCTGTATTCATATCTACTTTGCATAAGAGTTGAGAGCACTTAAAGCACACTTTTTAGGACTGCACATTCCAGAAATTACCAGTGGAGTATGGGAATATTCTATAAGTTGTCACCCTTGCAGAAATAACATTTTCAAGTTCTGACCATCTCTTTGGATTCTTGAGAATCTTATTTTTAGGATTTTCAAAACATTCAAAACATTGGCTGATATCGTAATGAGTTTGGATAATGTAAATCCATGTTGCACTACTATATCTCTCTTTTTGAACATTGCAAATTCTGGAATTCTTTACTGACCTTGCAACGAAATGCCCCCAAGTCTGCCTTTTAGGTGAGGTGTCCCCAAATTAAGGCCTGGGGCCCAGACGCAACCCTCCAAAGTCACTTACCCAGCCCTCGCCCTAAACTTTAGACTTAAGGTTGCCCTAAGTCTGAAATAGCTTGAAGGCACACAACAACAATCCTAATTAACTTGATTATATCATCAGCCAAAAGTGGGTCCACGCTTCCCACTGAAATACTAGTAAGTTGACGCTAGTTAAAACTATTCTTCGTTTAAAATACTGTATTATTTTTTTTGCACTATAAATAAGATATGTGATGTGTGCAAAATAATTTGTTCCTTTTTTCTCCCAAACTATAGTCTGTCTCCCAACAGTCTGAAGAACCATGAACTGGCCTTCTGCTTAAAAACTTGCTGGGTCCCTGTTAAAGGCAATGCAGTCCTCCTCTCCCATATGGTGATTTCTGTATTGTTAGAGACTAAGGGAAGAGTGAAGACCCTCTCCCCTTAGGAATCATTGCACTTACTATGAGCCCGAATCCAGTTTCAAATTGGTCAGACAGGGTATTTTTTATGATATTAATTGATTTTAATGTTTTTATTATTTGTTGTTATTTATTTTTATACCCTGCCTCCATCTCCCTGAAGGCACTTGGAGGCGTCTTACAAAGGGACAAGCCCAAGGATTACAAATAAAACAGACACAGTAAAACAATGAAATTATTATTATTATTATTATTATTATTATTATTATTATTATTATCATCATTATTATTATTCTTTGAAACACAACAAGATGAGTCCATAGCAAACAAGATCACTCTTCTGGCTGTATTATTATTATTATTATTATTATTATTATTATTATTATTATTATTATTATTCCTACTTTCATGTAAGTGAACATCCTGCAAGATCATTAGCTGCAGGATCATCCCAATATGTCTGTTGCAATGCACATATATAATGATCCCATTACTTTTCAACAACATGGAAGCTAATAATAATAATGATAATGATAATAATAATAATAATAATAATAATAATAATAATAATAATAATAATAATACTGTATCTTTATTTTTATACCTGACTCCATCTCCCCAAAGGGACTCAAGGCAGCTTACAAAGGGACAAGCCCGGAGAGCATGGAGTTAAAACAAAATGCAATAAAATAAAATAAAACAAAACCAAATAGAAATATATCACAATAAAATGTAACATCATAAAAACATTACCATGGGAGCATTAAAAGTGCTGAGTTCAGAGGGCTCTGAGTTTGTGCAAAATTCCTAGATAGAGCTAAATTAAAGTGCAAATAATTAAGTGGAAGGGATGGGAGAGTTGGCACCACGAGATGAAGAGCCAACCTTAAGAAATGGGGCCACAAAGTGGAGTCCACAACATGCAAGTGGGAAGAGCAAACCACAGACCACTTACTACAATGCAGTCTAAGCCCCTGCCATGCACAATGGAGGACCTTCTTATAGCAGCACCTGAGGCAATCCAAGTAGCCAGCTACTAGTCAAAGGACATTTATTATAATGCCAAGTTTTTTTAAAAAAAAAACTTTGTGTTTTTTAAATACATTACAACTGTAACCTTGGTTTGCTCCTGATACCATAAATAAATAAACAGGGAAGTTGATGCATTTCTTAAAAGTTGGGTTGGCAGGAAGTACCAGGAGATGTAGCTATGAAGAACATGTGCTACATGCATTTCTCCTAATGCAGGATTCCAAACATCATTTTCTTTTCTTTTGTTCTACCTTCAAACATGGTACCTCATATTGAGGGATTGAAACAAGACCACTGAAATCCCAATATATGATCCTGTGCTGAACTACTTTTCTGGAGCATTGCACTGAGGCAGAGGGCTAAATACGCACAACACACAGCAGCTACCAAAAGCTATCATTTCCTGGTTATGTACTTCCTTGTCCTTTTGTTAATGAGGAAGATGGGAACCCAGAAGCTGAAATCCTATTGACTGCACTTTTTTCCAGAGTAATGCAGCAGTAGTGAAGGAAAGCTGATAAATTCCACCAGCTCCATGTAATTGTTTCTCCAAGGCTTTCCTTTCTTCATAGCTGCATTCGTAGCTTTCCCTCCTACTGACATTGCTGATATAGTGCACCAACAAGATTTCACTCACAATGCCAAGGGAGCTGGGCTTAAGAGTTGCTTCGAACATAAATTCGAAATGTAACTGTGCCCACCTCACTTCCTTGCACTAGGTTGTCCAGAACAGGTCTTCTAGAGCCACTGAGCATTTTGTTCATGGGAGAAATAACATAAAATACTTTCTCTCTCTAGTTCTAATTAAACAACTGACAAGTTGCCATTCTAAGGTGACACGCTACTTCAGAGTGCAGGATGACACAAGGCCTATGCAGTCTTACCGTGATATCTGTGTAGAGGGATTTGCCATACATCCGTTTGTATTCTTGTCGTATGTCCAGCAGGTCAACCTCACTGCGTGACACCATGATCCGAATAAGAGTCCTGTCCTTGGTCCCAGCTCCCTGCACAAAACAAATACATCCATTTATGGGATAGAAGGTGAATCGGTATCAAATTTACTCCCCAACCTTCATTTATAGTTTTCATTCTTATTCCAAGACTCCAGCCTCAAGCCTTCACACTAATAAATGCCACTTAAAGATGTTAAGAAGCTGACATATGCAACTATAATTATTCAATGTATCATCGAAGGCTTTCATGGCCAGAATCACTGGGTTGTTGTAGGGTTTTTTTCGGGCTATATGGCCATGTTCTAGAGGCATTCTCTCCTGACATTTCGCCTGCATCTATGGCAAGCATCCTCAGAAGTAGTGAGGTGTGTTGGAATTAGGAAAATGGGTTTATATATCTGTGGAATGACCAGGGAGAAAGAACTCTTGAACATGGCCATATAGCCTGAAAAAACCTACAACAACCCTTATAATTATTCAGTTTTCCCCCAACCTACATGTTCTGGATGTTACAACTCCCATTGTCCCAAACCAGCAAACTCATCTGCTTGGGGATAATGTAAGTTGTAGTCAATAACATTAAGACAGTGGCAAGTTGAGGAAAAGTGGGAAGTTGATATAAGTCTGAAAAACTCTGGAGGGACAGTTTAAAGCAGAGATGCAAATGAAGTAAGAAAATTAACAAAACAGTATTTTCCCAGTCTGCTCTCTCTGTGCTTTCAAAATGCCACACCTCCAAAAAATGCAAGTACTTTATGGCATGCAAGATACAAAAATGTTTCCAAATCCTTTAAGGGAAGAAGATAGTTGGCCCGGAGAAACAGTAAAAAAGGGATTATTCAACCCAGCTATGTTTCTGTATGTAAACATAACTTCTACTCATTACTTTTTAAAGCTAAAATGGGGCATGAGACAACTATTACACACAGATGGGCCTTACTCTCAGTTTTGCATCCTACTGGAGTCAATATTTCGTTAAAACACCTAAGCATGTTAATGTAAAGAAGTCTGTGGGATTACACGGTACTTACCTTCATGGCCTTGTGCAGTCTCTCTGCAAAGAAAGCTGGTGTGTTCTTGACACACTTAACTGTAAAAAGAAGTTGATATGGGTTATTATTGGTAGCTACACATCTTTGAACTTTGTTCTACGATTGTGTAATCATTTCTAAGAAAATGGCACACTAAGTGATAATGCTTCTCATTTAGGAAACACTTTTTAGTGTCCCCTGCCTATCATATATACTGTCATGATGTAACTCTATTAAAAATACAAAAACTGGGACAATATCTTATCTCCATACAGCCTACGAGGGGACAAAGCCAAAAGTGACTTGCCTAGAGAGGCATAGCTGGGAGGAAAGTTTTTGGTGCCTTGTTCGTTCATTTAATGAGACCTGGGATGTACTATAAAGAACCAATTGAGGAGAAAAGTGGCGTATAAATTCAAAAAACTAAAATGAATATTTTTTTCCACATGGCTACACTGAAATAATTTGGCCTAAGGACAGAATGGGGGTGGGGGTGTTCAAAATACAAGTGTACAATTCCTAATCATAACCCACATGACAAAAATGACAAGGTTGAGGCCAATGACAAGGTTAAAACCAACACTGCACTTTGTTATTTTTTAATCTGTTTTATTGCTTTATGTTTTTTAATGTTTGATATGTTTTAACTGTTGATTATGACTTGTCTTAACTGTTTGATAAGGCTTGTCTTGTTTATGTTGCAGCATTGAATGTTTGCTGGAGTTTATAAGCGGCATTGAGTTCCCTGTGGGGTGAGAAAGGTGGGGCATAAATAAACCAAATAATAAATAATAAAATAAATAATTTAGAGAATTTTAAAGAGTTTTCTAGAGGGTGATATGACACCTCATCACATAGTCCTACTCCGATTTTCTGTCCAATTGCCCTCTCCAGTAAAAATAAATTTATAAAATGTTTCTCAGGCTTTGACAACCAGCAAAACTGGCTTGACTAGAGAAGCTAGTGCGACCTTCTCAACCTTGTTACTTTCAGATCTGTTGGACTACAACTCACATCTTTTCCAGCTCTTCTGGCGAGCACTAAATGAGGAAAGGTTGTACAAGATAGGCAATAGTGGGTCTTTCAACAAAAAACAATTGAAGTATTTTTTTCAGACAATAAACAATATAAGTCAAAATCATTTTAAAATGTGTTTATATTTGCCTCTCTAACATACCTGAATCTGAAGTGGGCAAATGAATGACACTGAATATATGTATTCTAAGGTGCCCCTCCCCATACAGAAACACACTCCAAAATGAAGACAATGAAGGTATCTTTCACATGGTAAGCACACAGTCATGCAATCCAGACTGAGGACATCACAGATGTTTGTTAGGTTCAAGTATACTCCTTTTTTGAACAGTAATTTTTAGAATAGTCATGTAGGTAAACAAGACTCACAATTCACACCAAGACAAAATAATGCAAGGGAATTAATCTAGCCACATGCACTGCAAGAGCATTGCAGAAGGTTACCATACATACAATCCTGAAAGCTTTGATGGTGCAAAAAAAGCAGAAAACAAAAAAAGCACATATTTCCAGTTAGATCTGTAGGCAAGGCGCAAAATTGTAAAAGCCATTTTATATGACAAAGATCTATAGAGTGTTTATATTTTGCATATATGCAATGATCAAACAGTGTTTCAGATTCTTCATCTTTCATTACAATGATTGTGCAGGCTAGGTTACTCTTGCGAGCCACATGATCTACAGGAGTCTACGGACGACACCGGCTCTTCGGCTTAGAAATGGAGATGAGCACCACACCCCAGAGTCGGACACAACTAGATTTAATGTTAAGGAGAAAGCTTTATCTTTAGGTTACTCTGATTATTATCCCAGTATTACAGATGAAAGGTTGAGGTATAGAAAGAGTAATTTGCTCAGGTCAGCCCAGTGAGTCCATGATAAATATGAACTTGAGTTGGCTTTTCCCAGCTCACAGTTTTGGATCATCCTCACAGCCATATCTAAAATGGTTTAGCCTACTGTAGAACAGGAGGAGATGGACAGTAGTCCTGTATTAAAATGATCAGAACCAATAATGAATAATAATGATTCCAATGCCAAATTACATGTGAAGAACTTTATGGTTGTCTTTTGGACATTGTGAAGAAATGAATGTTCATTTGCTCAGGAACCTCTAGCACAGGTATGAGCAAACTTCGGCTCTTGAGGTGTTTTGGACTTCACCTTCCACAATTCCCAACATCCAGTAAGCTGTCTGAGATTTCTGGTAGTTGAAGTCCAAAACATCTCATGCTTGCTGTATCCAATGAGTATAATTTCTGTGGCAATTCTAGATCTGGCCCACAAGGGCCTCATAATCTGGGACAAATAAGTAGGGCAAAAAATCATGGAACCTGACAGGAAGTCCAAACACGAAGCTGTCAGCTCAGGTAAATGCTTCCCCAGTGTCCTGACAGGTTTGGTTGTAGCAGATTTTAGAAATCTGCAAAATGGACGAAGGATGTCCACCAGAAGTTATCTTTCTTATTAACTCTCCAAGATGCACTGGACCTTATAAGCACTGATGTGGATATATGAATGTGCACACAATCAGATTTCTTGTCATTATCTCTCTCACTCTCCTACCGCTTTTACCTTTTCCCCTCTTGAACCCTGTTTCCTTTTGGGGTCACTTCCCTGCCATCCTGGTGCCCACATGAGAACAAATGAATGCTTGCAGAGAGTTCTCATTGGAATTGATTTCCAATTGTGCTTTCATTTAGCCACCTGCGTGTCTGTAGCTCCATTTGTTTACAACCCTCATTAGCTGTTTTGATATTATAAAATGTACTCATTCGCTGGAGCAGTCCACACTAGCATATAGGAACAAAGTTATATGTTTTCTTTAAGAGTGGGGATATACAGTGAATATGCACATTTTTAGGCTGAAACTGATTTTTAAGCACACCTTTCTAACACGTGTTTTTCGGCTGTTGATGCAATACAGTGCGCATTTAGCCACCATCCCCATCTTTTATCCCAGTTTCTTTTGCATTTTAGGGCCTGTGTAAAAGGTCCCCTAGATATCATCCAATCTAAGGCAGGTTGTGGATTGGTTCTCCTTGAAGGGCCCAATGACACACCTCCGTTCCTCTGGTCTTAGTTTGCCCCTCCCCTTTTCATCAGGACAGGAATCTTAACTTACAATATATTTTAAGAAACATACGTTTTAAAGAAACTTCAGTTCAGAAATGTCTGTGTGTGTTTTCAAAGCAATAAATGGTCAACCAAGCCACAGTTAAAATCTGACGCCCTTAAAAGAGTCACCCACCTACTGCCAGCATCCCGGATTCAAGGTCTCCAGACATCTCTCTGGCTATGCTCTTCTCAATGTCACGGTTACACATGCGCTGGTATTCATTGAAAACTGGAAAGAGAAAAAGCATTATAGTTACTAATTACTAATTTGGTTAAGACACTTAAAGTACAGTACAAAGTATTTGTTCTGCTGCTGTCATATACATTCCATGTAAAGCAGTGGTTCTCAACCTGTGGGTCTTCAGGTGTTTTGGCCTACAACTCCCAGAAAGCCCAGTATACCAGCTGTTGGGATTTCTGGGAGTTGAAGGCCAAAACATCTGGAGACCCACAGATTGAGAACCACTGGTGTAAAGTTCCCCTTTGGACTACTAACTAAGGACACAAGGAGCAATAATATACCCTCCACCCCCCAGTTCTGCATTTTGTAACTGTGTATAAGAAGGCTAAAAGCATTAAGCCATCCTTTATATCTTGTCAGAGTGGGCTACAAATTTCCGTTACAGCTCTACACAGAAAACAATTGGATGTTTTCCCCACACATAGTTATAGACAAAAAAAATACCTGCTCTTAGATGAGCTTTACTTCTGGCGCAAAGGATTGCATTGAACTTGGACTCATCGGTACCAAGTCGATTCTCTCCTGCTGCATACAGGGCCTAAAAAGAAAACAAAAACCCATAGGTATTCCTTATTCAATTACTCTTCACAACTGATTTTGTAATTATCTTTTCCCCTTTAGACAAACATCTCTCCCTCTTTCAGTATGTATTTTTCGCCTGTCCTGATGTTCTTTTGCCTTAAGATTTGTTGATGTTGATTTTATTTATAACGCCCTTTCCCTTAAAAGTGAAAATGAATGCAACCACTTTCCTAGTCTGATAGCCTCTACCTCTCTGTCTATTAAATAGGATAAAAAGCAGACCTACAACTGCTCCCTAAAACCAGCCGTTGCAGGCAATATTTCCTCCTTCCCAACACACCTTTGCTTTCTATTACTGTGTTTGTTATCGAGCAATATTTCTTTTCTTACCATGTTCTGATGCTAGTGAAAAAATGTTTTTATAACCATGCCAGGACATGTAATACCACTGAAAAGCATTCCCATGTTTTTTACAACTAATGTTGAAGTGAGGTAACTGCTAATATTTTCAGTGTGAAGTACAACTTTTGGGGAGACGACTGAAAGGTTCCATAATTTTTTCCAATTTCACTACCAAGCAGAATTCAATATTATCTTAACAGATTAGAGGGATAGGCCAAAACTAACAGAATGAAGTTCAACAGTGACAAATGTAAGATACTCCACTTAGGCAGGAAAAATGAAATGCAAAGATACAGAATGAGGACACATGGCTCGAGAGCAGTACGCGTGAAAACGATCTTGGGGTCGTTGTGGACAACAAGTTAAACATGAGCCAACAATGTGATGCAGCGACAAAAAAAACCTAATGGGATTTTGGCCTGCATCAATAGGAATATAGAGTCTAGATCCAGGGAAGTCATGCTACCCCTCTATTCTGCCTTGGTTAGACCACACCTGGAATATTGTGTCCATTTCTGGGCACCACAATTGAAGAGAGGTATTGACAAGTTGGAATGTGTCCAGAGGAGGGTGACTAAAATGATCCAAGGGTCTGGAGAACAAGCCCTATGAGGAGCAGCTTAAAGAGCTGGGTATGTTTAGCCTGCAGAAGAGAAGGCTGAGAGGAGACATGATAGCCATGTATAAATATGTGAGCGGAAGCCACAGGGAGGAGGGAGCAAGCTTGTTTTCTGCTGCCCTGGAGACTAGGACGTGGAAGAATGGCTTCAAACTACAAGAAAGGAGATTCCATCTGAACATGAGGAAGAACTTCCTGACTGTGAGAGCTGTTCAGCAGTGGAACTCTCTGCCCTGAGTGTGGTGGAGGCTCCTTCTTTGGAAGCTTTTAAGCAGAGACTGGATGGCCAGCTGTTAGGGATGCTTTGAACGTGATTTTCCTGCTTCTTGGCAGGGGGTTAGACAGGATGGCCCATGAGGTCTCTTCCAACTCTATGATTCTATGATTAAAGCAAAGCAATGTATGTTCATGCTTCCTCCTATCATACAATTTAAAGAATCAACCTGAATAGTCTGAATTCAAAGGAGACTGACACATATTTCAGAACACTTTTAACATGGTAACCATTTATTGTAGACTCAAAATATATTTTACAATTTTTTTCAAAAATGAACCTAGAGCCTAGCGTATAATAAATGCTTCTGATTCAAGATAATGTATCTATCAATTGGAAAACAACAACAGGAAACAATGAATGCTGCCTACCCTGGTTGTTTACTGTACGTATAGTCAGGATCGGAAACTGAGAAACCCTTGGCAGTTTCCCCTTTTCCCACCCAAACATAACAATGGGTGGATGGGGAAATATATTCAAAGAACATTGTCTGAGTTGAATAAAATGTTTCTACTTTATAAAAGTATAGATTAGAAGGTGAATTGTGGAGTGGGATAACTATGAATAGCAGTTTTAGACTTCATTAAAAGAAGAAATATCTGAAGAACTCCTTTTGTATTTCTATTCAGTGAAGACTATCTCAATGCAGCATGAACAATCTAGTTGTGCAAACTATTACAGAATTAGTAAGAGACATCATACAATAGAAATTCTTAAAACTAACCTGAGCATCACTTTGGACAAGTGACATGTTCACATTGGTGCTTTCATCTCTGTTTCCCTGCGGGAGGATATACAGCAACAATCACGTTAACACATAAACTGGAATTTTTAAAACAACAACTGGTATCCTATTGGAAAACTATATCACCACAAACTGATTTATGATGGTGTGAAATTCAATCGCACCATTTGTATTCTCTAAAAGGGAAGAGAGAGGTAGATATGCCACCAGGTCTGCTGTGCTAGAGGAGTCCACAGGATGGCAACAGCACAATGCATCTCGATGTACAATGGGACTCCCTATTGCACTATGGGACATGTTGTATTACTCCCCATTTTTATCAATATACTATACTCCCATCGTGATAAAGTTATCGTTGTCATTCTGAAGCCGAATCTCGGCCATTGTAAACAATGTCAACATCACATACAAAAATAATAACATAGAGAGGTGGCAGACCAAAGAAAAGAAGGCCAGGGAGTTTAGATTTTCTGTGTGCCATCCTATTTGTGGTGCATAT